TTAGTTTCAGATGTACAATGAAGTGATTCAACAATTTTATACATTATTCAGTGCTATAAGTGTACACTTAATCCCCTTCACCTCTTTTACCCATCCCCCACCCACTTCCCCTCTGGTAATCATCAGTTTGTTCTCTATAGTTCAGAGTCTGTTTCTTGGTTTCTCTCTCTGTCCCTCTTTTTCCCTTTTGCTCATTTGTTTTGTTTCTTAAATCCCACATAAGAGTGAAGTCATATGGTATTTCTATTTCTCTGACTTCTTTCTCTTGGTATTATACTCTCTAGATCCATCTATGTTGCTGCAAGTGGCAAGATTTTGTTCTTTTTTATGGCTGAGTAATATTCCCTGTGTATATGCACGTGTGTGTGTGTGTGTGAGAGAGAGAGAGAGAGAGAGACCTCTTCTTTATCCATTCATCTATCAGTGGACACTTAGACTGTTTCCATAATTTGCCTATTGTAAGAATGCTGTAATAACCATAGGGATGCATGTATCTTTTCAAATTCATGTTTCATATTCTTTGGGTAAATATCCAGTGGTGGAATTACTGGATCATATGATAATTCTTTTTTTAATTTTTTGAAGAACCTCCATACTGTTGTCCACAGTAGCTGCACCAGTTTACATTCCCACCAACAGCACAAGAGGCTTCCTTTTTCTCTACATTCTTGCCAACCCTTGTTGTTTCTTGTGTGTTTTGATTTTAGCCATTCTGACAGATGTGAGATGATATCTCATTGTGCTTTTGATTTGCATTTCCCAGATGATGTGCTGTTGAACATCTTTTTCTTTTTTTTTTTAAGTAGGCTCCACATTTAACATGGGCTTGACTCAAGACCCTGAGATCAGGAGTCACATGCTCTGGGCACCTGGGTGGCTCAGTGAGTTAAGTGTCCCACTCTTGATTTCAGCTCAGGTCATGATCTCATGGTTCGGTTAGTGAGATTAAGCTCCACATTAGGCTCTGCACTGATAGCGTGGAGACAGCTTAGGATTCTCTCTCTCGTCTCTCTGCCTCTTCCCTCCCCCAAAAATAAATAAAATAAAATAAATTTTAAATGTAAAAAAAGATGTTTTCAAAAACATTAAAACAAAACAAAAAAAAAGTTGTGTGCTCTACCAAATGAACCAGCATCTTTTTGTGTCTGTTGGCTGTGCATCTTTTTAGATGAAATGTCTATTCATGAACTTTGCCCATTTATTAGGTGGATTATTTGTTTTTTTGGTGTTGAGTTGTATCAGTTCTGTATATATATTGGCTACATACCCCTTTATTGGATATGTCATTTGCAAATATCTTCTTCCACTTAGTAGCTTGTCTTTTAATTCTGTTGATTGTTTTGTTTTTTGTTTTTTGTTTTTTTGCTGTACAGAAGCTTTTTATTTTGATGTAGTCCCAATAGTTTATTATTCCTTTTCTTTTCTTGCCTCAGGAGTCATATCTTAAAAAATGTTGCTATAGCCAATGTCAGAGAAATTACTACCTTTGGTCTCTTCTAGGGTTGTTATGGTTTCAAGACTCACATTTAAATCCTTAATTCATTTTGCGTTTCTTTTCTTTTTTATTTAAAAAAATTTTTTTAAATAATTTTTTTAAAGTTTATTTATTATTGAGAGACAGAGAGACACAGAGCATGAGCAGGGGAGGGGCAGAGAGAGGGGGAAGCACAGAATCTGAAGCAGGCTCCAGGCTCTGAGCTGTCAGCACGGAGCCCAATGCGGGGCTCAAACTCACAAACCAGGAGATCGTGACCTGAGCTGAAGTTAGACGTTTAAACAACTGAGCCACCCAGGCACCCCAATTTTCATGTATGGTATAAGAAAGTTGGGGCGCCTGGGTGGCTCAGTCGGTTGAGCGTCCGACTTCAGCTCAGGTCACGATCTCACGTCTGTGAGTTCAAGCCCCACGTCGGGCTCTGTGCTGACAGCTCAGAGCCTAGAGCCTGTTTCCGATTCTGTGTCTCCCTCTCTCTCTGCCCCTCCCCCGTTCATGCTCTGTCTCTCTCTGTCCCAAAAATAAATAAATGTTGAAAAAAAAATTTTTTTAATAAATAAATAAATAAATAAATAAACGTTAAATTTTTTTTTTAATTGCAGCTTTCCTCATCACTTCCTGTCCCCTTGCCTGTTTTTCTCCCACTCCCTCTGACTATGACCATCTGATGCACTATATATATTTTGCTTATTTGACTTCATTTTCGGCCCCAACCCCACTCCATGATGGAATGCAAGCTTCACAAGGACAGAGGTTTCATTTTGCTCACTGCTGCTTCCCTAGATTTAGAACTGTGCCTGGCACATAGTATAGGTTCAACTAACATTTACGGAATGAAGAGAGTGAGTGTTACCATGGATATTTTTCTACATCTTTGTGTGATTTTCCCATTTCAATACTTAAAAATTTTTAATTTTTTGATATTTTGAGAGAGAGAGAGAGCAAGCTCATGGGGGAAGGGCAGAAGGAGAGGGAGAGAGAGAAAATCCCAAGCAGGCGCCACACTGTCAGTGTAGAGCCCTATGCAGAGCTTGAACTCACAAACCTTGAGATCATGACTCTGAGATCAGAACCATGAGATCATGTCTGTGAGATGAGCCAAAATCAAGAGTCAGACGTTTAACAGACTGAGGCACCCAGGTCCCCATTTCAATAGTTTTTATTTTTATTATTTTGAAAAATTTTTAAGAGATAGAGACAGAGTGCGAGCAGGGTAGAGGCAGAGAGAGAGGGAGACACAGAATACAAAGCAGGCTCCAGGCTCTGAACTGTCACCACAGAGCCCTAAGCAGAGCTTGAACTCATGAATGGCCAGATCATGACCTGAGACAAGGTTGGCTGCTTATAGGACTGAGCCACCCAGGGGCGCCTCAATACTTTTTAAAGATAGTCATTTCAGTTAACTGACAAATGCCAGGATATTGCTATTTCATGATAATCTTTTCCCCTTTGTTCTTCTTTTTCAAATGTTCTTTCTTTTTTGTTCTTTACAGAGATTAAGTTATGAGTCAAACTCTCCCAACATTCTTTTCATCTAAGTCCTAAGAGATTGTTTTTGACAAGGTATTAATAATTAGGTTTTTTTAAACATTGAAAAGAGTCCGTTTTTGAAGATAACATTTATTTTATTTAAAAAAAAATTTTTTTAACGTTTATTTATTTTTGAGACAGAGAGAGAGAGAGAGAGAGAGAGCATGAACAGGGGAGGGTCAGAGAGAGAGGGAGACACAGAATCCAAAACAGGCTCCAGGCTCTGAGCTGTCAGCACAGAGCCCGATGCAGGGCTCGAACTCACGGACCGCGAGATCATGACCTGAGCCGAAGTCGGCTGCTTAACCGACTGAGCCCCCTGGGCGCCCCTAAGATAAGATTTATTTTATTTTATTTTTATTTTTTTATTTTTTTTTAATTTTTTTTCAACGTTTATTTATTTTTGGGACAGAGAGAGACAGAGCATGAACGGGGGAGGGGCAGAGAGAGAGGGGGACACAGAATCAGAAACAGGCTCCAGGCTCTGAGCCATCAGCCCAGAGCGCGACGCGGGGCTCCAACTCACGGACCGCGAGATCGTGACCTGGCTGAAGTCGGACGCTTAACCGACTGCGCCACCCAGGCGCCCCAAGATAAGATTTATTTTAAAAGCCACATTTTAAATTTCCTCCAACTAATGTATTTATCTGACTGTAGCACTGAAAACACTGTAGTGTTCATTTGCTCTGCTTGCCAACCCAGAATGTGTGTTCTTCCTGGGCAAGAGGCAATTTTTATTCATCTCTGTATACCTATATCCTGGCTGAAGAATAAATTTGAATGAATCAATCAGTGAGAAAGGTTGAAAGTTTAGGAATCTATCTCAAAAGAACAATCTGGTTATGCTTATTAAAGCAAGTATAACAAGAATACAAATTATGTGCAGAATGGGGGTAGAATGGTGTTGAAGGCAATGACAGAATGAATCTTTCTCTTCGGTTGAAGTTTGACCTGGGAGGAAAGATAGTTCCATGAACAGCATTTTCCTTACCATGGTGAGCCCATGAAAGATCTGGATTCCCTTGTCTGTGTAATGACTGACTGCTGGAAGAAGCAACAGCCATCAAACATTTAGGGAGAAATTCCAATGCCCCATTGAGTCTTAATTTTGGCATAATGCCGCTTGGTTATTCCTTTTATTTTTATTTTATTTTTTATTTTTTTTAATTTTTTTTGAACGTTTATTTATTTTTGGGACAGAGAGAGACAGAGCATGAACGGGGGAGGGGCAGAGAGAGAGGGGGACACAGAATCAGAAACAGGCTCCAGGCTCTGAGCCATCAGCCCAGAGCCCGACGCGGGGCTCCAACTCACGGACCGCGAGATCGTGACCTGGCTGAAGTCGGACGCTTAACCGACTGCGCCACCCAGGCGCCCCTTGGTTATTCCTTTTAAGGCTGAAAACTTATTTCTTCCGATGTTTTCAATTTTTCATCCATAAAGTGAATATGACCACCCTCAACATACAAGGCCAGATAGCTAACAAAAAATGTTATGACATCTGCAGACATCAAGTGTTGAGTCAAGGAATCACAACCGTCCTCTGGCCTCTCTTTAGTGCTGAGGGCAGTTTACCATTGCCTGCAACCCACATATTGCTCAGTTGTGTCATCTCTGATCTGGCACTCCCTTGATCTATCTATAAACATTCAATTTAGAAACCCTAAAATTTTTCTCTCAGCCCAAGAACTCCTCCGAAAAAAGATAATGACAAGAAAACCTTAACACCTCTCTCCCTATCCAATACTCTCCTTTGACATCACACACACACACACACACACACACACACACACACACACACCCCACACAAAGGTGTTTTGAGAGAGGAGGGCTAAGGGGAGGGGTAAGGGTCGAGAGGGGAGTCCAGCTCCAGTTTGGGGAAATCCAGCTCGCGTTTTGACTCTCGCTCAGCGGTGCAGGGTCCAGCAAAGGCAGAGCCCCTGCTACACTCCCAGAGGTCTGTCCTGGGGAGACACTACTGCTCCGGGGGGCTGACCTGGCGGGGAGTGGCAGCGCAATCCGCTCCCGCACTGCTTTGTGCGCGCAGCCGCCGGCCCCTCGGCTCCCGGGTCTGCCCCCTGGGACAACCCCCTGCCCCGCCCCAGTCATGCAACTCTACCTGCTTCTCCTCTGTGGACCTTTGGGAAGCTGCCGCCCACCCCAGGGTCTCGGGCCCTGACCCTGCCAGGCAGCCGGTAGGTGTCCGCCCTGGGCCCGCTCGCGCCCCTCGTGCCCGCCGAGACTCTGGGCTCTCAAGTTGTGGGGACCAGCGCGAGTTGGAAAGTTTACCCGAGGGCTGGTGCGGGCTTGGAGCCTGGGGCACGCGCGCTGCCCTCGGAGCCGGCGCCGGCCAGTGGTGAGTTGGGGCTGGGGCAGAGGGCAGGGTTGCAGGGACCCTCACACCGAGGCCGGAAGGGGGTGCGAGGGGCGGTACTCGGCTAGGGCTGGGTGAGGGCCGGAGCTCGGCGTCCGCGGGTCCTCCGGGTCCGCTAGGGTGGGCCCACTCCCCGCGGCGACCCCCTGCCCCGAGCCGCTTGGGGCGCTTTTGTTGCGGGTGGTAAACAATGCTCCCGGCCGGAGGACGCGGCCGCCGGCCCCGGAGGCCCAGCTGCGGCGCTGGACGAGGGGAGCGGGGCGGGGGCGCCGCGGGCTCGGACCCCGGGCGCCGCCGCAAACCGGGCTTGGGGGAGGGCAAGTGTGCCTGCGGGGATCCCTGAAAGTGCCGGAGACTGATGCGCCTCGTAGGAGAGTCGCAGGTCTGGCTCCTTAAGGTGAGAAGGCAGAGTTAGGGCAAGTTGCGGTTGAGGAGCCCGTCCTGGCGCACAATCAAGCGCACCCCCAAACAGGGTTTATCCCTCCCCCATGCTTGTGTAGGGGACAGATTTCTTTGGGAAACTGTTGGCACTTCCCTCCCTGAGCATTTCGGGGAAGGGACTTCATAGATGAAACTTTAGAGTCTGACCCGAGGTGACCTGGAGTTACAGCGATCCGGGAAGTAGGGAATAGGGAGTAGAATTAGTGTTCTGTCAAAATGGCTTTTGAAAACCTCTTTTGGGCGCCACCGGGTTGCGGAGCGCGCTGGCGTTGCGGTCTGGTCAGTCCCACCCGCAGGGTCCGGGGAGCTGGCCCCCGGGGTGGGAGGTGCGCAGAGCTGGGTGCCTCCGACCAGCGGTGCCGTCCGGGAGGGGCCGAGTCCCGGCCAGGGCCGCAGGCACTTCACGTGTCGTGGAGGGACGGGGCTGGATCTCTCTCCCTCTCCCCCTCTCCTCTCTTCCTCCCTTCCCGGCCCTGCTTCTCACCCACACCCTCAACTGATAGAGCTTCTGGAAGGGCTACTTGCAGTCCGTATAGTTCCACTAAAAGTGGTCAGGAGGTTACCGACCCGCCCCAGCAGCCTTCCACGTGAATGGGGAACCCAAATTGCGCATTTCTGACCCAATAAAAATGAATATATCACCAAGAACAAAAATTGCTTGGATTAGGAGTCTTTCCCCCGCCCCCAACTCGTCATTTTCCCAAATTAACCATTTTGCATAGGTCACCCCTGTGCCACTTCTCCCCGGTTCCACTCTCGGGCACCAAATGAGCTGCACAATACGTAATGGTAATAGCTTATGAAGAGATAAAGGTTAAGTGCTTCGAGACTTAAGCGAGTTAAAGATAAGGTGCACGGTCTAGTGTCCGCCGGGTGCGCTGCGCACCGCACCGGGATGAGTTGAAGGGCGGCGCTGTAGGGTAGCAGCCTCAGGTCTGCCCTGAACGAAATGTGCTCACCTTCCCTTCTCCTCCCCCTCCGACGATATGAAGTAGAAGTAAAATAAAGACGATGGTTTCTTAAGGCCCAAGATGCCAAATATATATGCATCTATACTCATGTATTTGGGGCTTGTTAACCAGTTAGGGCAAGAATTATTTAGAGCATATCAGGAATGTATGACTACAATTAAACAAGGGTGGTGCACCAGATAGGTGCATAGATAAGGAGATGCTTGGAGATTAGTCCGTATTATTTCCAAGAACTGAAAGACTTCGGCACTGTGATTTTGGGCGTGTTTCCTGATTTTACCAGTTTTGGGTTACACTTCCCTCCCCAAGTAAGGGATCTTAAATAGGTTGGTTGTCAGCCTCTGACAGTGTTTAAAGCCAGGTTATGATTTCGGTTAAACTTCAGAATCAAGATATTCTGGAGTTATTAGCACACACTGTCCCTTTCTCTTTGCACAGATTAGTAGCTCAGATTTACAACTCTGCGACCATCACTTACCATTATAATGAGAATTAACTATGGCACTCAGCTCTGGTTTTCCAGAATTGATGGGTCTGAGGTTTGGATCACCACTGTTTCTGCTCTTTGTTTCTCTTCCCTCTCCAATCTTCTTTATCTGGTTTGTCCATCCCCTCCCCCACTTCTCTTTGCATCTATTTTTCTTTCCCTGCACAATTACATTTCTTTTTTCTCTCCCCTAGGTCTTTTTACCTTTAGGCTTCAGCGTTTTGATCCCAGTTATCTTTTTTACATTCTAGCTTTATTACTACAAAAGTCTTCCCCTTAGTTTTTCGCCCACTCCCCCTTCCCCTTTAGACATTTTCTTCCTTCTTATGCTTTTTACTATTCCCAGTGTGTTTTATACTTTTCTTGTTTTTGGAAGAATCCTTCCATCTCCATTTTAACTTCTCCCTTCCCTTTTCTGTGGCTCTCTTAGGCCTTTTTTTTCTTGCTCTCTGCAGGGCAGCAGGGGTGTTTTACATATGGAAGGAGCCTTTGACTAAATCTGCTGGCATTCTAGTGAGTTTCCTTGAACAGCCTTTCCTTGTGCAGAGGGCTCTCACACTTCCTGTGGTAGAAGACTATCTAGGAACTGCAAGCTGCCCGCCCACCTCCTCTTCCTTTAGATGTAGAACTTAGTTGCTGGAGGAAACTAAGTCAGGTGGTGCCTTTTAAAAGAAATGTTGTAAGTCTTGTATTTCTCAGTCAAGTGCAGTAGCCTTTAAATTCTAAGGAGCTGAATGGAGTGACTCTGAAATCAGAGCTTCTTTTGCCTCCAGCCATATGAATGCAAATACTCACCACTTTTTTGGCCACTGCTGGTAGTGGGAAGGGTTGCAATATAATTTTAAATTGACATGCGGGCTGGATGGTTACATCAGTTCAGCCACTTCCTGCCCAAGGGACTTTGGGAGATCCAGGAGAAGGAGGAGGGATGGAGGTGGGAGAGAATTTTCTGACATGGTGCTGTTGTCAATATTGTCCTTTACAGACAACTGACATAGTTCATGAAGTCACTTTTTATTTTCTAGACCAGGGAATTACTTCAGTAATTATAAAAAAGGCCCTCTGTAGGGAAAGATTGAGTACTTAGTAAGCTCAAATAATTTTGAGGACAATACCTGATCCTATTTGCTCACCAGTTTGGTTAGGTTAAGTTTAAATTATTTGTGAATAATTAGTCAATCCTTAGTCAAATATTTATTGCCTGCTCCTGCCACTTCTTCCCTCTGTCTTTAACCTTATACTCTCTACTTTAGGTTGGCATCATGTCTTTTCATGTTTCAAATTATGTGTTGGCCTCTTGAATCTCCTACTGCTCTAGTCCTCTACATCAGAAGGATATGTTAGTAAAAAGAATTTTTATTTGTGGTGCCCTGTGGTGAAAAGATTTGTTAACTAACGTTTTATATCTCACAATTGTTGGGAGTTTTGTTTGCTTGTTTCATTTTGTTTTCTCTTCCAGGAAAATAAGAACCCACAGAATAGTATCAATTGCAAATAATTAGGACCTATGATCTGTATTTAATAACAGAGACACTATTCTCTTATTTTCTGCTCTGATCGTGTTATCCTATATCTATCTCTGTAGCACTCAGAACTCTTCAATATATTCTAGGGTAGAATAAAATTGATTTTGAGAAATATTGAAACGTCAATTTTCACCAGAAATGAAAAATGTAAGTGGAATTACTTTTTGGTTGTAAATATACCTTTTTGTAGGACTTAAGTACTCTATAATAAATAAAAGTAACAAAAAAGGGGGAAATGGAGCATTTAATAATGTGTACAGGTTAACAAGGAAAATAATTTTCAGGAGATCTGTGGGGATAACTTTATATTTAAATAGGAACCTATTTAATAGAATGGACTGCATTGTTTTTCCCCCCACAAATTTCAAAAAAAGCTTGTTGCCTCTCCTCCCAGAGTTCAGCCCTGGGGATAACTTAGTTTATCACAAAAGAAGGTCACATTTCATCATTGGAGCCTTGGGTGATAAAATTAGGATCTTGTGGGAGCCCTTATTTTGTTTCTGATTGTCTATTTCTTTGGCTGGGTGGTACCCAGTGGTTTCTCCCCTGCAGTTGGGTTTTTCAGGGGTCATTGGCCTCTTTCACGATCTCATAAAAAGGCTGTTACCATTTAAAGAGACCACATCTTCCCAATCCATGTTGCTCATACCTTTTCCATTTCCTTGGCAGGCTCTTTTTCAGGAGATAAGGTTTGAATGGTAAACATTATCTTAATTACAAGGCTGAATTTCTAAAGCACTTTAATTTAAAAATATAAAAGGATATATGAGGCTGAGATCAATTTATAAACTACTTTCAAAGGCAGATCCCATGACACCTTCTGGTATATCCAGATTACTTGCCTACATAACGTGAATTTTAATTTTCGTGGCCTCTTGCAATACCTAGATTATATGCTCCTAATAATTTTTTAGAAATGCAATCTTGATACAAGAGATAAAGCAAGCTTATACTGATATTGTTGAATTTCTAAAGAATGGAAAGGACTGCTTTTTGCTATCTGAAAAAACATCCTTATAAAGACTGCTGACTTTCTGGAGATTAGAATTGGAATGTCTTTTGTTTTCTAAAAATACTGGTACAAAAAGCAATGGTCTTTGGAGAAAATATCTAACAGTTTTTCACAGCCAAAAAATTAATGCAAGCCAAAAACCTTTTTTTTTTTTTTAAAGGGGGAAAACAGTAAGTTTAGATACCAAGAACTCCAGCATTCTCCAGTCTAGTGTTTGTATTTAGCACACATTTATCAAATTTATTTTTCTTGTAGTTAATGTTATCGCTGCCCATTTAAAAAGTCTGTCTTGAGGTGGGGACGGGGCACTTGCCTGAGTGGCTCAGTTGGCCATCCTTAGCTGAGGTCATGATCTCTCAGTTTGTGAGTTCAAGCCCCAAGCCCCTCATGGACTCTGCACTGATGGCTTTGAGACTGCATTGGACTCTCTGTCTTTCTCTCTCTCTCTCTCTCTCTCTCTCTCCCGCTCATGCTCACTCAATGTCTGTCTCTCAAAAATAAATAAATAAACATTAAAAAATAAAATAATTAAAAAGTCTGTCTTGGGGGAAAAATTAAGTAAAAAATAAAAAATCTGTCTTGGGGTGCCTGGCTGGCTCAGTTGGTGGAGCTTCTGACTCTTGATCACAAGGTTGTGAGTTTGAGCCCCATACTGGGTGTAGAGATTTCTTAAAAATAAAATCTTTAAAAAAATAAGAAACAAAAAGGCTATCATTATTTCTTTTTAAAGTTTACTTATTTATTTTGGGAGATAGCGCAGGAAGGGCACAGAGAGAAAAATATCTTAATTTTTTTTTTTAATGTTTATTTATTTTTGAAACAGAGAGAGACAGAGCATGAATGGGGGAGGGTCAGAGAGAGAGGGAGACCCAGAATCTGAAGCAGGCTCCAGGCTCTGAGCTGTCAGCACAGAGCCCGACATGGGGCTCAAACCCACAAACCATGAGATCATGACCTGAGCCAAAGTCGGAGGCTTAACCAACTGAGCCACCCAGGCGCCCCGAGAAAAATATCCTAAAGGCACAATGCTTTGACTTTAACTCAATGAGTGCTCTGGGGTCTTTTATTGCAGTGTGTAGCTTACTATGTTAGGTGATAACAGAAACAGAAGAACTAAATCTTGTTTTGCAGTGTATGGCAGACTGGGTTAAACTGATTCCATAATGATAACCATTTAGCTTATCTCTCTTTTTTTGTTTTTGGAGTTATAAGCAGCCTTTATTTTTTTAAGTTCCCATTTATTATTAAACACCTAAGTATATGCCAGCACTATGCTAAGTGTTTATACAACTCATCTCATTTTATTCTCATGGTAACCCAGTGAGGTCAGTACTATTATGCTTCCTATTCTATTACACATGAGGAAACTGAGGTATAGAGAGACTGAAGAATTTATCAGAATCACATGGCTAGTAATGTTTCTGAGCTGGAAACTGAACCCAAGTCTGCCTATTTCCAAAGTCCTTCCCCTACCTTCCCCGCTCCCTCCTCAACCTCACATAAGCTTTTCCTGTAGGAGCCCAATGATACCTCAAAACGACCTCAGTTCAGATGTAGAAACCTTGATTCAGTTAAATAGGATGTGGAAGGAACTAGCAGGTGATCACAAATTCAAAC